CCTCTGTGCTGAGAACTTGGTCCTTTCACATCACCCACTGTGCATCCCCAGCCTTACATCCTGATTAGTAGGATGCTGGATAGTGATTTAAGACAAGCTGTTTATGACATGAAGGGGCTGTGGATGAACCTTGCTTGTCTCTCTCTGACCGAGACCCTCGTATCTCCTTACACCCTGATTAGTAGGATGCTGGATAGTGATTTAAGACAAGCTGTTTATGACATGAAGGGGCTGTGGATGAACCTTGCTTGTCTCTCTCTGACCGAGACCCTCGTATCTCCTTCTTTGCACGAATTCCTGGGTCATAGTCTAGTCACGCCTTGTGTTTTCATCATTGCAACATGCCAAGCCCACTCCCCTCCACAGGCTGGGCAAGCACAGTCCTCCTGCACAGCTGCGCTGGGCCTGGGTTTCTGCCGTCCTCTGAGTAAGTAGTGGGGTTTCCATTGAGCAGGGTCTTTGTTGGGGTGACAGGGAGACTTTCCTCACCACTATAAGACTGAAGAAATCAAGCACAGTTCACACAGCGTGGCTTTCCAGGTGTCCCAGGAGTGGAGCTGGGCTCTGAAACCCAACTGTCCAGTGGGCAGCTCTGTGCTGGGGGCCTGTGTGGCCTGGCTCCTGACTACAAGGGTGTATCTCCCTGCCCAGGTCTTACATGACTATACCAAGCGCCCAGGGTAATTAAGTTATGAAGGTTTATTTTAGCTCTCCATGTTTGAGGATGTAGTTAGCCCCACCAATGGAGCTTGTGGGGTGTATCCTGGAGGGGACTCATTGCTGAGCAAAAGTACCTACTTCACGGGAGGAAAGCCACATAGAGAGGATGAGGCTGAGGCCCCAAAGGGCATGACCCCAATGACGTAAAGACCCCCACTTGGCCCCATCTCTTAAGAGCTCCTCCCTCTCCCGGGGTCTAGCCTCTAGCACAAAGGCCTCTGGAACCTAACTGTAGCCATGGGGGATTTTCCACCGCTGTCCCCATGCTGTGAGCTCAGGATGCATCTCAGCACCGTGGTCCATCCTGACCCAAGCCTACCCCGTACCTCTGGGCATCCCCCCCCCAAGGCCTCTCAGGCTCCTGAACATTTCATCTAACATCTGGTAAGACTCGCTTTTCTAGAAAACACTCTCGGCCATCCTTAAAAGCCCACGTGGCTATTTTATTGAGGGTCTGTTTCTTTCCTTAGAGGTGAAGAAAGGTGACTGTCACCCAGTGTTAGCACTGGGTGCCTCCTACTCCAGTAACTGGAGCTCCTGGGTTAGGTTGGCCTTATTTGCTGGGATATTTCTCTATCCCACTGGTTATGTTGAAGAATTTGTGGGTTAATGGCGTCACTGGAAATGTGCTCCCTGTGCAAATGTCCTTGTTTCCTAACTCCACACGACCATGCTGTTTTCTATAGCTTTTTTTTTCTATAGCTTTTAAAACAGTGTCCGTGTCTAGGATCGGATGTCCCCCACCAGTCCCTCCCGTGTACTCTGCTTCATTTGTACTCACAAGGAGATGGCCATGGTAGAAAGACGGAAGCACAGAGGGAAAATGGGCCTGGGCCTCTAAGGAGCAGAGGATGAGGCCAAAAAGAGGCAAGGGGAGTCAGGAGTGCTGGCAGTGTAGGGAGGTGACCCCCTAGAGAGGCTAGGTCCTGGGCTTGGGCAGCTGGGTAGGTAAGGGACAGGTCATGGGAGAGGCCAGAGCTGGGACATCAAACCAGGGGTCACTTCCTGCACCAGCAGGGACTACACTGAGGCTCCCAAGGCTGCAGGTGTGAGGTGGTCCTCCCGACTGGGACACTGGGAGGGGTACTCTCACTGACTGGATGCATGGCTAATGGTACCCTGGGGGTTAGAGGAGAAGCAGATACCACCGAGACTCCCAGAGACTGAATTGGGAGTATAAAAGGACTCCACCCACCTGCCATGGGTGTCCCTCAACCTATATACTCCCTCTCATCTTAGGAACCACCCTCTAATAACCATGGAAAGTCCATGTAGGATTCCACAGAACTCTGGTCCCAAACTTGGTGGGTGGGAAGAGCTGGCTACTCATGTCTGAGTCTCTTGGTCCCCTCTCCCGTGTTCCAGATCCACCCACATCTCCCATGGGCAGCCGCACTTAGGTAGCTAGACATAGACAAGGTCTCCCAAGCCCTGGTGTTGGTCTCAGGGCCCCATGTGATCAGGAAATGGCCCGGATTTAAGTTTCTCCGGGTAAAAGCAGGGCAGGTGATGTGTGGAGGTCCCAGGGTTCACCCCTTAACCTTGAGGCAGAGCTGGGGCTGGGCCAAAGCAGAACTCTCAGTACCCTGGGGCCTTTGTTGAAGGCCGTCACCGGGAAGGGCTAGAATAACAAACAGCAAACACAAATAAAAGCCCTTGTTCCTTTATTTTGCAGTTCACAAGGTTGTTGTTTTGTTTTTGCATTGCTTCTGGACTTGCCTGCAAAGAGTCGGGGAGGCTAGAAAGAGTGCCGTGATGGACATTTCGTTGACGTTTTGTTTGGTTGCAGAATTATCGCCATTGTGAATTTGGAATCCAATTAACGAACATGTCCCAGACAGCTCTTTTAAGCAGCTCAACCCGTCGGACTACACCAAACACGTGAAGACCGTGGTGAGACTGCAAACAAACGCTGCTCCTGTCGTGTAGGAAGCGGAGGTCGTGGAATTTTGGCAGGGCGGCCTCATCGGTGGGTGGATGCTGATTTCTTGAGAGATGGTAGCGCTCTGAAGGAGGCTCTGCTCAGGACTCTCCCACGGTGTCTTGCTTGTTTTTACCTGCACTGTGCTTGGCTTCTTGGGGACACCTGCGTATCTGCTCCCCTCCCAGAATGTGCCCCTCAGCCCAAGCATCCCACAGCTCCAAGAACAGCGCCTTACACTCAACAGGTGCTTGGAAGCACTCCCTGACTGCATGAATGGTGGATGATGAATCTTTTGGATGGATGAGGACTTGCTGGGAGAACAGCCTGGCCCCGCCTTTGTCATCGGAGACACGGCTGGGCTGCTCTCCACAGCATGGAGATCAAAAAGAAAAAGTGGAGTGGATAAATAGTCTGTTTTGTCCAATTGTAGAGTTTCACATTGGGGAAACTGAGGAACAGAATTGTTAGCAGACTCTGTCCACGTCTCACGTTGAACAAAACAAGACCAGGCGGCTTTACAACCAGCCTGGAATATATCCATAGCTACGATTTTTTTTCTTTTTTAATTTTTTATTTCTTAAAACAAACTCAAAGTGAGATGGGATGGTGACCTGATGGAAGCAGTTGGCCTCAGGGGGTGGGGGGTGGAGGCAGGGAAGGGGACCTGGGAGGAGGGAGGATGGGAAGGAAAGGGACCAGGGGGACGGTGAGAGGTGGCAGGTATTTGGGGAGTTGGGACACACCCTCATCAGGATAAGGGTGGGGCAAAATGGGGAGGGGTTCCAGGGACTTGAACGGGTTTGGACTGAATAATGATCAATGAATGACCAATGGCTGGGAAGAGATTCTTTGAGTCAGGGCTCCAGATAATGAAATGACCCCAGGGTAGAGGTTGGTGGGTGACAAGGTCGAAAATGTGTGACAACGGTGGCGCGCATGACCAATGGGTGATGACCATGAAATTGTGAGTGTGTGCTGTGACCACGACTTGAACGACAGTAGATAATGGTGACAATGACTTGCAAGCAAGTAGACAGAGCAAGGTAAACATGATGTTCACACTTAAAGCTAAGAGCATAGGTTCCTACCCAAGTAACTTAAGAAGCAAGGGATTCCTAACTGGGACCCAAGGACTGTGTAGCAAGCAGACCCCAAACAAGAGCTGGGCAGCTACACAGGACTCTAGTCCATTTCTTTCTATGGATTTTTTTGTTATATTTTGTTTTTTTATTTTGCAAAAAAAGATAGATGCTCTTTTAAAAAAATCAAATTCATAATTCAGAAACTGGCTAGGTGTTTTGGGATCTGAGGGTTGTAGTCCCAGCAACACAAAGGTACATCCATGGCTGTGGACAGGAGCTATCCTACTTTTCGCCATAGAACTAGAAAACACCCCACAAGCAGCAATTTCCACTAAAGCCTGTGAAAACCTTGGTGAGGGATGCGTTGCTCGCTCAGATTCTGCCAGGGGGCACTTGTGGTTCAAGGTACACTTACGTCTGAAAGCATATCATCTCTGCTCTATAGGGTAAGGGGCAAGTGTAGGGTGGAGTCTGCGGGTATGGGACTGGGGCAGGGCTCAGCTGGGGCGGGGAGTAGGTTGCTCAAGAGGCAACACCAAATGGCACATTTTGACCTAAAGGGGCCTATTTTTCCCAAACTGGACATGAGCCAGGAGGCTCCCCACTTTGAGAAACGCTATTGGGATCGACCTCGATATCAAGTGTACAGCCAGGATAGGCCAAAAATCTTTCGGATCCCAGGATGAGACCAAGTCTCCATCAGATCCTTTCCATGGAGTCAGGAAGTGTTTTGGTATATATCCCTCGTTCCTAATTCTGAATTTTGGAGCTAGAGAGGACCTTGGTGGTTTGGATGTTTGCACCCCTCCCTCAAGAGAGGGTGGGGAGGTGGCCCAGGGTTGGGAATGGGGGTCTCGCCAAGGATCACACAGCGAGTGAGCAGCAGGGCTGGGACTAGGTCCTTACCTGTCTGCCAGCAGCCAACCTGGGGGCTCTCTCTGCCTGACACACAGCCACTACACACTGCAAAGTTGACAAATCAATCAGCAAGATCTAAGGGTTGCGGTGTGAGACTGGGTGTGAGTGAGAATCGAAGTGGTGTGTGAGAATTAACGAAGGAAAGAGTTTAGCCCTTTTCACAGTGAGTGGTCAAGTTCGAATGCGTGTGTGTTGCACGAGGAGTTGGTGGTTGAAACCCCCCTGGGAGAGGGACCTCACCAGCAAATCCTGGTTCTGTTACAATGTTTTTTTTTGGTCTTTTCGATTTTATAATCAAAATGCTGATAGATATATTGATACTTAAGAGTCTAGAATAACATACTTACTTCTTTAACTCGTTTAGAGATGAAATTCTTATTATTATTCATTATCATGCATTAAGGGGGAGGGAGGGGGTTCTTGAAAGCATGGCAGCGTGTCACACAGCGATGCAAAGACAATATACGTAAGCGTAGCGTTCACTAGATTTCACACAAAAGAGAGCAAGCTCTACCACAAAGAGAAGCACAGACCGCATATAGTGAGCTCTACGGAACCCCCATAATAGGGAAGGGCCTGGGGGAATGCTGCTTAGATCTCCTCGTCGCCAGCCTCCTTGTTGAAGGTGGTCATGTCGATCTTGTCCGGGAAGATGATATTCACCGCCAGCTCCTCGCCGCTGTTGTACTGCAGCAGCAGGTTCTTCTTCTTGCGCAGCGTGTGGTTGTAGCGCAGGTTGGACACCCAGGCCTCGCACTTGTTGAGGAAGACGATGGCCACGGTGCCCAGAACCACCAGGCTGGTGAGCACACCCAGGATGGTGAAGCAGATGGCCTGTCCCTCGGTGAGGAGAGGGGTACTCTTGTTGAGCTCTTTCATGGACACCTTCAGGATGCGGTGCTCGGGCTGCTCAACCGGCAGCTCGTGCACCCCGGGGGTCAGGCGGTAGGTGAGCCCGTAGTTGCTGGGCAGATGGGTGACCTGCACGGGGTTGGACCCGCGCTTCTTCGCGCACGTGGGACCCATGAACGGGGGCTTGCACAGACACTCGTAGCTCACCTGGGTGTGCTGGAGGCAGGTGCCCCCGTTCAGGCACGGGCCACTGGTGCAGCTGCTCACCGGGCGGCTGCAGGTCTTGTCGATGAATCCAGCTGGGCAGCGGCAACGGAAGTCGCCCCCGATGTCGGTGCAGACGCCATCATTCTCGCATGGGTTAGGGGTGCAGCTGTTGGCAATGATCTCGCAGAAGTTGCCAGAGAAGCCAGGGGGGCACAGGCAGGAAGCATGCGAGGCCCGGCCCTCGTCATCCACACAGGCACCCCCGTGCTGGCAGGGAGAGCTGATAGAACAATAGACGTGGTTAAGGGCCCCCGGGGGTGGGGCGAGGACAGAGCAGTAGGGGCAGGGGGCAGAGGCGAGGCTCCTTTCTCTGTCCCTTCCTTTGGAGCTGACAAAAGGGCAGGGCTCAGAACACATCTGGCTAAGAAGGGTAAAATGCCAGCCAGGGAGGCACCTGGGACTGGAACCCCTGGCCTGGAAGCTCAGCAGCTGCTCAAGGGTGGGGCGCACGCACACCTCACCCCTGTCATGATGTCAGCCTGGAACCCAAAGCAACCTCTCATGCCCTCCCCCGTCTCAGGCCAGAGCATACATTGTCAGTCACTAGACAGATGGGGAAACTGAGGTTAGGAGAGGGAGCATTAGTAACAGTCCAAGTGTAGGTAAGATCCCTCACATGAGGACGGCAAGAAAGAGCATGGTCCCTGGGCTCCCCAAGAGGAAGGAGATCTGCTGTTAGTCGGGGTTCCAGTGTGTGCCCCGTGCCACACCCCATTCTTTATTATTGTACTTCCGGTGGAATGGGCCCAGCCAGCTATTATGGAGGAAAGCCCTGGGGGCTCTCGGTGAAAGAAATCCGGGTAGCATCTACGAGTGGCATCTTTGGTGAACTGTTTAATGGCAATCCAATCTGAAGCTGTGTGCTCAGAGCGGAGCACATGGAGCATTTAATGTGAGTGCTTTTAAACAAGCTAGTCCTTTGTCATCTGATAAATGCCAAAACTCCGGGAAAGAAAAGCACCCACACACACACACACACACACACACACACACACACACACACACACACACACACACAAGGAATAAGCGCTGCAGCTTCAGCCAGCCCTAGGGCTGCAAGTCGCTGGGCTCTGAAAACTTCCCGTGGGCCCCCAGGCTCTATTTTGACAGACTAGATCAAGTCTGTTAGAACAGAACAAGTTGAAAGGTCTTGTCCTGTGTTGTTCCCCTTTGCCAATAAACTGCCGTGGAGTTCAATGGTCACTATGGCCAATGTCCTTCCTGAATACAGATCTGAAGACCCCTATGATCCTGACTGTTCAAAGCCTCTGCAGTATCCCAGAGTCTCTTCCCCACTAGCGCCCCCTCCCATCTCCTCCAGTCCCCTCAGACATCCCAGAAAACCCAACTGTAATGTCCTAAACTCCCCCCCCCATATGGTAAATGGGTTTCACAGGCTGGTCCTGCTGAACTCTGCTCTCTTATTATGTAGCCTTTAGAAAATTATACAGTTTGCCATCTCTGTCCCCATCTCAGTCTGCTGTCATTCACTGGCACCGGGGCTTGGGAACATCAGGGGAATATGAAATTGCCTTCAGGACCATTTGAAAAAATTATGGAAATGACACATCCCTCCATAAAAGCCCCCTACTCTGGCAGAGCATTAGATGGGGCCCGGGTTGCCTGGAGCACTCCTTTTTTTATCCGGCGACAGGTCCTACGGGGGTTAGGCTGAAAAGGTCTTTAAGGGTGAGGTGAGAATATTTACCCATTGATCACACAGGGTCCAGCTTTGTTCTGGCAGTCCTTTCCAGAGAACCCGGGGGCACAGGAGCACTCGTACTGACCCTTCTCGAGGTCCACACAGGTTCCATTGTTGGCGCAGGGGGTTGAGGTACAAGCCCGCATATCTGAGAGGCAGAAAAGCCAGGACTTAGCTTTCCCTTTCAGACGCCAGTGTGACAGGAACCCCAAATAGCTCTGCTAGTGATTTCCTAGTGGGGTTTGCAGAGCTTCTCCTTTTCTATGGAGGGAAACTGAGGCACAGCAGCAAGGAGCTGGAAGGGTTGTAGTGATCCCCCCCCCCAAAGTCCTGAAGTGCCGAGGGTCAGGAGCTTAACTACAAGGTCACCAGTGAGAAAGTCAAGGCCACGGGTAACCAAGATAAGCAGCTGCACCCTTTTCCTAGCAAGACCTTTGCCGAAGAAGCCTTTGTCCCTCCGTAAAACAGGGAGTGAGCCAAGATCCCCTCAAGTCTCCTTTCTCACATTCAGCTTCTCACATTTAGGGGAGGGGGTCTCTGCCACCTTGGGAACCAGTACAGGCTGATATTTGCAGGGGGGGGTGCAGGGGCGGGGTGGGGACACCAGCTTTTCACACTTTCCCATCTAAGACCTCCATCAGGAAACCGGAAGTTTAATTTAGCTCCGGGGCTGCCTCCCCACCGGTGGTCCTTCTGTTCTCTAGTTCTGAACTAAGGGGGTCTGAGGGTAAAAAAAAAAAAAGAAAAAAGCTGCATCTTTTGAAGGCAGCAAAATTAGAACTATTGAGCGCTCTCCTGTTTACTCGGGTTTCCATGCCCGCTGCTGCTGTTTTTCCAGTGCTTTGGCGGCCCCCGACCCCCACCCGTGAGGCTTACTTCATTATTGGGCTCAGCAAGCCAGGGACCAGCTGAACAAAGGGGCTTGGGGCAAGGAGACCCCAGCTGGCCGGCAGCGTCAGGAAGGGACCCTTTGTGGCTGCTCCAACCTGCTGCCCCACGGAGGTCAGCTCCTTCCTGCTCTGCCTCAGTTTCCCTCCATAGAAAAGGAAAAGCTCTCTAGCTGATCTATGGGTGTTTTCTATAATGTGAGATGTAGAAACCCCGGACTGCCCAGAGACTGCAAGTGAAGGCAGCCCCCCCCCGGGCGCCCCACCCGGCCCCGCCCCAGGGAAAGGGTTCCCGATGCTGAAACCACAGGTGGACATTTCTCTCTCCTTTTTCAAAGAGATCTGCACCCTGGTGGAGGGGAGAGAGGCTTCCATGGGGAATTCTGAGCACCATGTTGGTGGAGAAGCCAGGCATGGTTCAAGGGAAGCTAAAGAGGATTTATCTTTCCGGGATAGAGCCAACACTGAGCCTCTGTAGCTGGCTCTGGCTTCTCTGCCTCTGCTCTCCTACCACTTGGAATCTTGAATTTAAGATAAAGCTTTGGCGACCACCCCAAAACTATATTGCTCAGTCCCCCTAAATACCAACTCCCAGAGCCTTCAACCCCAAAGACAGGGGGTGGATGAGCTGCTGCAAGGAGAGAGGGATGGGGGGGGGTTGTCTCTGCTTGAATAGCAGCTGTGGCCAGGCAGGCAGAAAGGGAGAGGGACAGCAATTACCCAGGGGCTATATCCCTCCTGGGACAACCCTCAACCCCCACCATCTCTACCCAGGCAGATAGCCTTTGTGAATCTGATGGAGAGGGGCTATGTATGTATGCTGAGGGACCTGTGAGGGAGAATTCTGTCTGGAAAGCTGTTCTGGATTCAGATATCTAGAAGGATGGGGTCCAGGCTAAAAGCCTAACCGTGGTCAGTGTTTTTCTAGCATCCCCAAACACCTCAGAGCATCCTTAGCTGCAGCAGCTGCAGCAGCTGCAGCAGCAGCAAGGGGCTGCAGGGCTGTGACCAGAGCATGAGTCAGCTGCAGCAAAAACCTTCCCCCACCCACCATACTACCACTCGAGGAGAGGGGGACCATAGGCAATTTGGGGTACAGAAGCCCCTTTGCTTCTCTGATCTTTGTTTTCCCTATGCGTCACTGGCAGTGTTAAGGAGACAGGTCCTGGGGCACCTAGCCGTCTGCCTCCCTGCTGGGGTATCATCCCTAGGGTGGGGATGGGGTGGGCACACACCCTTTATTCCCCAAGACTTCAGTTTGCCTGGACTTTGGGGTCAGGGTTGGCAAATGAACTACAACAATGCAGCTGTCAGTCTACAAAGATTATACAAATTAATGAAATCAGCAGGCAACATCAGTCTGCACCTTAACCCTTCTCCCCACCAGCGTCACCAACCGCCTGCAACACACGACTGCCCCCCCAACCTTGTCCTTCCTGATGATTCATCCTCAGCCCCCACAATCACCACTCAGCTCCAGTCACCCCTCCCCTACTTGTTTGTTGCCTCCCCTTTCTTGATGTGTGAGCCCCCGAGAATCACCCCCACCCACAGCATAACACAGGAGACCCCCCCAATCTCCCAGCTCCAGCAACCTGTGCAAGTAGCCCCAGTCCTTGGTACAGCCACCTGGGCATGTTGTGTTTTTATTTTTGTGACTCTTTATTCAACAGGCAGTTTCTCAGAACCCCCTCCCCAAGTCTGGGGACCCACAGAGCTGAGGTGATCAAAATATAGGCATTTGAGGCCCAGCAGGAAATGTATACGCACTCTAGACCACGTAGTACAAACAGAGAGCCTTAGGGGTTCTGGGTTATAGCTCCAGGTGAGGGGTGGGAGTGGGGAGGGAAAGGGGTGAGGGTACCCACCTATGTCGCAGAGTTTCCCATCCCAGCCATCCTTGCAGATGCACTGCCATGCTTCCTCGCAGACTCCATTGACGCAGCCAGGGGGAGGTTATGCACTGGTCACACTGGGGGCCCTCCCAGCCGGGCTGGCACCTGTGGGAACAAAGGGGAGAGAGGGGGGCACATGAGGGGAGCAGGGGTCCAAAGGGGGCTCAGGCTGTTTGTCTGCTGAATGGAGAACCCTTGGTGGTGCCAGGCCAGTGGGTCTCTGGAGCAAGCAGCAGTCACCTGAATGGAAGGCTCAGAGAAGGTCCTCTAGTTCAGAGACACGAGGGTCTTCCAGACCCCCACAGGAACCACATTTGGTGCAGTGACGTCCATTGGTCTCACCCTGTAAGCCATTCTCCTTCCCCCCTTCCTCCTGCCCCCCCTTCTCCTGCCCCCCTTCTCCTGCTTCCTGTCCTCCTCCCCCCTCCCACCAGTTATCTGCAGGAGAAAGAAGATGTGACGCAGTTTTTAATAGCAAAGCACCCCCCTCTCTTTAGCCGGGCTCCAAGACCCCACAGGACCCCACCATGGCCCCCAAACAGCTTACTCCATTACCTGCAAACATTGTCATCCTCGCAGAATCCATTTTTGGGGTCGCAGGCAGGGTCGCATTCAGCCCCTGAGGAAGAAAAACGAAGTACGCAATCACCTCACAAGGCCTGCAGGACCTGTGACAACCATTTCCTCTCAAATGGCCCACTGCCCCTCAGCAGGGGGGGATCCAAAGACCCCCTACTGGATCCTTCCAGCCTGGCACACAGTAGGCACTTCTCGTCTGTAGATGGATGTGCCTCGACTTACCCAGGAAAACAATCCTGTGTGTTTCCAGCCATGGGATAAACACAGCATACTCCTGATTCGCCAAGTGCAAAACAGACACCTTTCTCCCCAAATAAAATAGGAACCCCCAGACCACTAAAAGTAGGAATAGGGGGCAAGGAAGAGTTAGCCTTTGATCCCCCGCCATTCAGGCTTTTGCAAAGTGAGCTAAAGGGGAGATTTTGAGGTGTCTGGGAAAGCTCAGACAAGTCCACCTGACTGGCTCTCAGGTAAAGCGACTAGATTCCCCCCAAGATTAACCCTAGTTATACCAGACAGCTGAATCCTGTCTCTCCTGCTTCCCCCACCCACACTGGTCACGTTAAAAGAACTGCGCAATAGCTCTGCAGGGCCTCTCTGACACCAACACTAATAGACACCTACTGTATGCACCCACTCAAACGCTCTTGGGCTTTCCAGACAGCCCCCCCCGCCCCTCACACACAACCATTGGCGCAGTGGGGGCTGGGGTCGCTGCGGGAAGGGGGCAATTCTCTCGCTGCCAGTGACAGATGGCCGCTGCAGACAGAAGTGTCGCAGCCCCTCACCTAGAGAAAACACGCCACGCAGGAGGGGCTCCAGCTTTGCTCCTGTTGGAAATTGGGGGCTACAACTGCAAAGTCATCCCCCCAAAGCCCCCAAGACCTGTTCCTAAGCACATACGCAGCTCAGACACCCCCAAAGTTGCACCCAGGGCCGTTTTTTTTCTTTTTCTTAAATAAAATACCTCCTAGAGCAGCCTCCTTTTTCCATACCTCCTCAATCCGCGCAATGACACCCCTCCGAACGCCACTTCTGCCGGGCAAGAAGGTGCTGGGACCCTCCACCTCCCGCAAACCTCGGGACCCCAGGACTGGGCTCGGCGCGCAAGAGTGGCGTAGGGAGGGTGAGGTGGGCTCAGTGCGGGGCTTAGGGTTAGGCGGGACGGGCGGGACTTGGGGCACATGGGACAGGGAGTACAGGGTGGTCTGCGGGGTGGTCGGCGGGGCATCGCAGGCTTCCCCAGAGGGGGCGCGAGCCAAGCCGCCAGGGGGGCTCACCATAGGTGTTGTGGCCGAAAGCCAGCAGGAGCAAGAGGACGCGCAGGAGGGCTCCGGTCGCGGTCATCTCGGGGCGGCCTGGGTCGGGGTCCGGGGAGCAGCGGCGGTGCAGAGGGGGCTCCGGGGGCTGCACTGGGCTTCTGGTTGCGGACGATGAAGGGGGCACGGGTGTCCCACGGAGAGAAAGCCAGGGTTGCACCGGGGCGCACACTACTAGGTGCGGGGCGCCCAGGAGCTGCGGCTGCGGCCCGCGCGCCGCCTTTTCGTACTGTCGGTCCCCCCCCGCGGCCCCCGCCCACGCCCACGCCTCGCGCGCACGGGGCAGGCGCCGGCCAGTCCCGGTGACCCACCCCCTGGCGGGGCCGCCCCCCAGCGCCGCGGCGCCCGGAAGCGGCTTGCGCACGCGGGCCGCACTCTTGGCTAGACGGGTACCTGCGCACGATGGGCACGCGGTCCGCACACAGGACAGCACGCGGCGGAGGCGGTGGAGGTGCTCGCACAGGCCCGCTTAGCGCAAGTCTCAGGAACCAAGCCGGGCGGGCGGGCGAAAGCCCTAGCACGCACTCAGAATACAAAACGCTCACAGACATAGTAAGACACTTAGGGCTTTGGTCCCGCGCACACATGGCGCGCGGGTCAAAAGCCCAGAAGGACCCAAATGCACACCACAAAGATGTGGAAGATGCACATGATCATAGATGCACACACGAAAACGACCACGAAAAGCCGAAGCCCCCCGACGAGTCTTGCCATTTTGGAGTATAGGGAAGGTGCAGGTGCACTTGCCCCACGAAGCCCCAACCCAAACACACCTTCGACACAAGCACACCTTAATACCCCTCCCTGGGGCACAGGTCACAGACCGTGGGGTAGCAGGAACTGTCCGATCTGCTCCAAGCAGGGGAAGCGCCAGCTATGAAAGACTGCCTATGCTGCCCCTCCACGCAGCCCGCCTGTAAACACAGGAGACCACTGGTAAACACCGACGACATCATGCGTCACCCTCTCCCCCTCCCCTTTTTCAGGTACTGCAGCCCCAGCCTGGGCCTTATCGTGCTGAAACATAAAATCGCTGCCTCTTTCCAACATGTAAGGCTACACACCTGATAGGAAGGAACACTTATGCCCAGCCCCCCAAACTGTCTCAGATTTGTGGGGTCACCCAACATACAAACTACCCCAAAGCACACACAATCAAATCCATCTTTATTCACAGTGACATATATTGAGAGTCTCAGCAATGAGAGTCTCACCCAGTCAAATGCAATCAACCATACATACTAAGCAACTTCCATTCAGGGGTGGCTAGGAGGTTGGAAGGGTGGGGGCTACTGATTTTGCCAGAGTCCCTGGGGGTTTACCAGGCAACCCCTTTTCTTGCTAGCCCCCCAGCCAGGGCTTAGAGCTTTTCATGCAGCTAGGAAGCTGCCCCGTCTCCCATTCTGAGACTCGAAAAGAAAAGGAGGGAGCTGAGTGGACTGAATCATTTAGGGGGGCATGGAGATGGCTCTGGGGGTAAAGGTGCTTGCAGCCAAACTTGAGTTCGATTCTTGACTACTGAAGTTGCCCTTTGACCCCCACAAGCACCCCCTTAAATAAAATGTAAATAGGGTCGTTGAGAGGTAAAGGTGTTTGCTACCAAACCCCAAACCGGATAGCCCAAGTTTGATCTCCAGACTCCATATAGTGAGAGACTAAGGGCTGTTCTCTGCCTTGGACATGTCTCTGATGGCTTGCCCTCACCCTTTCTCTGTCTCTCTCTCTGTCTCTCTCTGTCTGTCTCTCTCTTTCTCTGTCTGTCTGTCTCTCTCTGTCTCTCCACACACACACACACACACACACACACACACACACAAATAAATAAATGTAAAAACTAAAAGTAAAATAAAAAATCTAAAAAATAAAATTTTAAAAATCACAAATAAAATAAAATAATTATTTTTCAAGTGTAGAGATTGAAAAGATGGCTCAGCAGTTAAGACCACTTACTGTTCCTCCAGAAGACCCAGGCTCAGTTCCCAATACCTATATGGCAGCTCAGAACTGGTTGTAAATTCAGTTTCAAGAGCATCAAACGCACATGTGGTACACACACATAAACAGGCAAAATGCTTGTACACATAAAAAATTTAAATAAGATAAAATGTAAACAAACACATAAAATAAAGTCTTCTAACCTCCGAGGAGAAACGGTAGGATTTTTAGATGGGTCATTCAGATATGCTTAATTTGCTTGTATTAATTAATTTGCACATAGCAATTTGCATACACTAATTTGCATAGAGCTCTCAGGTGCTGTGAGCTGGTGTTTCCCTGGTCATTCTTCCTTTTCCCCACAGTTAGGGGGGCTTGTGGTTAGCCAAGGGACTTTAACTCTTTGAATCCCGGGCTTGTACTTCATCCTGAGAGGGAGCTTCTGGCCTGGGGGGGGGGGTTATTGAGAGCCAGACAGTGAGAACCCTTGGGAAGAAAGCAGGGGGTGGGCATACGGTTGGGCTGGAGGCTGAAAGAACACACCTCCCAGTTTGGGGGGGGATATGTTCTTTTCTTGCATTCTCTGCAGAAGCCTCACCTGACTATGGCATGGAGGAGATAGCTTCTGGGGCAGGCTAGAGGGCTAAGTTAGGGTACCCCTGAATTGGCGTGGACCCAGTGACTTCCTCGGACGATTCTTGTCTTCAGCTAATAAACTGAGACCAGTGGAGCAAACATTTTTGCTTTGGGGGGGAGTTGCTGTTGTTTGACATTGTTTGTACATTTGTTGGTTGGTTTGTTTGTTTTCCCCCAAGCCCCTGGTTAAAAGTGAGCACCAATGTCTCTTTGGTCCTCTTTCATTTCTTCCTTCCTTCCAAATCCCTGACCTCAGCCTCCAAAATTATCCCATGCCGTGCAGTGCAGCAGGCTGGGGCGGGGGGGGGGGGGGTTGTTCTCAGCCAAATGAAGGAGACCGGAGGACCTTGGGCTGGGCACTGTGTTAAAGGGTAGATTCCTGCACTCCTGCTCAAGGCAGCCCAAGAAGTGAAGTACAAAGAGCCCCAGAAGCAGTGAAGTGAGCCCCTCATCTAGACTCCCTTTGCCCCTCCTAAGCCTGTCTACACCCTGCCCTCCCTGGGTTTGGAAAGAGAAAGAATCAAGTCACAGGGGCAGCCTAGGTGCCTAACTGCCACAGACTTAAACTAAAAGGCATTCTTGTGGCTGATGGGCACGTGCTTTCTAATCCCGGAGCCATCCCATGCCTGCCGAGGGCTCTGAGCCATGTTTCCATGTCTATAAGCAGGGATCACACACCTGTCACTGAGGAAAACCTCGGGGTTTTGTAGGCTGGAAAGCTCGGTGCCTAAAAGGTCACCCGCAGCTGGAGCTTGACTACAGCCCCAGGCAGCTAGAAGGATCTCGGAGAGGAGCAGACAGCGTCCTCTTCTGGAGCCCCTGCAGGATGGCTTCGGGGCGGGGGAGTTTCCTTTCAAGACTCACAAGCCCGGGAGTTTTTATGAGGGTCTGCTCCGCTCTCAATAAAGCGTTTGTTAATTCTGCGGGCTGAAGATGTCTGTCTGTGTGATGAGCAGATGCCGAGAAGGAAGGAGTCGCACAGGAGCCCTGTGGGGAGGGGGCGAGGTGGGGGAGGGGGAAGAAGGGGGCGGAGTTGGAGACTGTCACCGGCTCTGAGGCTGCTTTGAAAGCATGAAAATGCCAATCCAGTCCCTTGGGGAGAAGTCGGCACAGTCTGCCTTTTGCAGAGCAGATCTCGGGGGCTGGGAGTCACGCCCCCCCTCCTCTATCTGAGCATCCTTTCTCTGCCCCTCCTCTTCTCAGGCGTCTGCACGGCAGACCCCTGGACTCTCCGTGGTGAGGCCCGCAGCCCCCTACTGCCAAAGAATTGCCCAACAGTCACCATAGCATGGCGTGGGGCGGGGGGGGGGGGGCTACGCAGGGAGCAGAGACTGACTGGATCTGCTCTCTATGGGTGGGGGGGGGCACAGCAGATCTAGGCTGCCTCAGAACTAGGCTGCTTATCTCTGGCCAAGCCAAGGACTCTTAACTTCCAGGCTCTGGCCGGCAGGAGAGGAAGGCAGGGTATTCTGTCCTGCAAAGGAGATGGCCTGGCTGGGGCGGCTGGGCGGCGTGTGTGTGTGTGTGTGTGTGTGTGTGTGTGTGTGTGTGTGTGTGTGTGTGTCAAAGTTTTCTGAAAGAATCTAAGAAATGCCGTCTCCGGACCATTTCCAGCACCCGCTCCCCTTTTCCCCCCTCCCTCCCCAGCCCCTATCACTGCCTCCAGCCCTCAACAGACCCCTTGGCCCTTGATTAAATACAGAGTCGCTGGTCAGGGAAGCTCAGTGGGGTGGAGCTGATGGGCCTCTCAGACAAGCCAGCCCTGGTCTGCAAGAGAGGGTTAGGCCAGCTGGTGGGGGGAGGGGGCTTAACCCCAGGTTGACATCTCGCTCCACACCCCCATTGAGAATCTCTCAGCCTTGAAGCTTTGTTTCTGCCTAGACTGGGCTGTAGGTTTAGGAGGTGGCAGATGCTCTGCCCATCAGTCCTGGGACAGCCTACAGATAAGTAAACTGAGGTCTGGTGAGGGTTTTGGGGGGTGGGGGGATGTCTGTGGGAGTGCCTTTGTGCAAGCCCTCCAGCTGACATTTTCTATCTTCAATCCACCCAAGGACATTGCCCGCCTGCCCCTTCCCTTCCCTCTGTTCCTCTCCTCTGCCCCCCACCCCCACCCCGGACTGTTAGCTCAGAAAAGGGAGCACAGAGATGCAGGTACGTGTCAGGCCTGACGCTGTGGCTTCATCGTCTGCTGAGCCTCCACTGCCTCTTCCCCTTCCCCAAGATCTCGCTTTTATTTATGCCACAGTACGGTGGGTTCAGCAGCACCACAGATTCCTCATACCCTGGAGCTGTGGGGCCGCAAAGCTACTCCAGACCTGAGCACCTGAGGCTGGAGAGTTTTGCAGATGACCCCAGAGTAGCAAAACTAGGAATCAAGGAAGGCATGGTCCTACTGGCATTCAAGCCTTGGCTCTCTCTCTGCTCAGAGACAAGCCACAGGGACAAGAGAGAATATGGTGAGCAGAGAGTGGGACCACCTCGAGGTACCCCCAAAGCCCTGCTTCCTCTCTTGGGGTGGGAGCGGTAGCTCAGCGACCTCTGAAGCTGCTGCTGTGGAATTCTTCAGGCAAACGCGGAGACAGAGATGCTGCGCCATGAGAGACACGCCTCTGCTCTCGGGATTACACTGGAGAACAAATCCCTCCCCCTGCCACCCTCT